GGATTGAGCGATGGCTCATCCCCTACTCATTGAACTTCCTCCTCTCATACCACTTGCTCTCTATCTCTCTCATACCACTTACTCTCTCATACGTAATAAACTCGCCCCGAGGGGAGAGTTCATTACCTAGTGTCACTCATCCTGCGAGTGAACACACCGCCATAGCAACAGCGCAACACTCCCCAATAGGAAGAAAACCCGCTGGGTTGTTCATCTTGTCACTTGTACCCAGACACAGCTGGGACTCGCTTAACTGTCTCGAGTGAACAGCTCATCAAACAAGATGATTATCATTTGTTAACCCTTAAAAATTTACGTTATCTTGCGGGTGCAAAGTGGGAAAATCTTCTAAGAACAGTATCAATATTTGACAAATAGTATTTTCTTAACTAAAACAATGTGGGGTTTAGGCGAGCACTAGAGGCCCAGAAATAGCAGACACCAGACAACTGCAAGCAAGAAGGCGGGCCCAAGAACTAGAGTTCAACCCTTGGTAAAGAACAGGTAGTTAAGAGCACACGGAGACCACATAAGATCAGGTGATGCTAAACACCGCCACACGTCACCATAGAAACCCATCCAAAACACAAGATAAACAAAACATCACACAGACTTGACCCCTCATCCAATCACGAAGAGGAAAATATACTAGGTGGTAACCGCTCAACCAATCACAAACCGGAGCTTTGTGAATGATACCCATTGATAAATTTAGCCGAGAGGGGTTCGTCTCTATGGTAACACTGACGCTGAGTGCAGGGATGGGAAGGGGGGGGGAGGGGAGACAAGAGGATGGGGGGAGCAAGTGGGAGAGGTGCAGGTGTTTCCTCCCTGTGGATGATGTGATGGATGCTCTGCCTGTGTGTACTCACCTCTTTGTGCCTGCAGGATTGAGCTCTAGCTCTTGGACCCCGCATTTATAGCCGTTGGTTGTCTTAATGCAATGACTCCTGGCGTATTTTCCTATTATACCGGTTTTTAAAGTTATGAATGGGGTTTACCTCTACTATCTGCTCCTTTATGTATTTCCATTTACTCACTACCCTTACGCCAAAATAAAACTTTCTAGCATCACACATCATAACATTTTCTAACATCACACCTCTGAGTCTAGCTTCCATCCGTGCCCCCTTGTTCTATTGGTAGTCATTGTAAACATTTCCTCGATTTCAACCTTGTATATTTCTCTAAGTATTTTATACACTTGTATTATGTCTCCACAACCCCCCTCCCTCTAACGTCGTCAGGCTAAGTTCCATCAGTCTGTCTTCGTATCTCATCCCTCGCAGCTCTAGGACGAGTCTCGTTACATACTTCTGCACCTTTGACTAATTTGCCTAATTGACAAACATTTGAATAATTTCTGAGTACCAATTTACTATTGGTTGACTAGAGGAAATAAGAGGCATTAAGTGAAAGGAAACTTAGCCCAAACGCTTCTGTTCTGCCTCAGGAGTCGAACGCGGGATCCTTCGGCTGTGCTTACCACTGTGGAGGCCTCAATATATCTCAAAAAGGTTGACAGGCCTTAGGCCTCAATCCACCTTCAAGCAAAAACATAGGCTACTCTTCTTGATAGTAGGTGCAGTTTGCATGACGGGTTTAGTCTCCCAATGACTGCACGAGTACAAATGTTGGGAGACGCTATAATGTTGAGAATGACAAGGTTTCAAGAGTGTTTGTTGTGGCGTGGTGAAGAGAGAGGAGCGGAGACTAAACTGAGGCGTGTGTTAGAGGGAAGACTTGCCGCACCGTAGGGCGGGATGTTGTGTTTATGGCGTCAGCTGATCCACGGTGCTGCGGCCAGGCAGTTGTTGGCTGTGTTTGGCCGCTGGTGGCGCCAGGTATAAATGTGGCGCAGGGTCAAATGTGACCCAATTTGTTGGTCGACTACAGATATTTGGCCGCCGTGGAGGACAGAAGAAAATGTATATATGCTGGTTAGCATTGTAAATGTGTGGCCACGTCTGTGGTAGAAAAAAAAGAAGTGCTTTGACTATTTGATATTTTTCCATGTAACGAAACCTCCTCCTAATATATATACTCGATGGTAAAAGGTATTTTAAGTGCGATAAGTACTTGTTTGAAGTTTACTCTGGCACTATGATGTCGGAAACAGTGAAGGTGATAGTGTTCAAATGTTTCTGGCACCTGACAGTGGATGCAGAGTTCGTTTATATCTGTTCAGTATTAAGAAGTGTGTACTGCTAGTTTGGTGTGTCCCAGCCATTGCTACATCATATATAGTATTCGGCCATTGCTACATCAATTTCTGTACTCAGCCCACTACCCGAGACGATATATTAAAATCAACAATATGATCCGAGTGATATGTTCAAGCGATTCAGATCTTATACCCAATCAATCAACTCAAGGAATATAAAAGCTAAAACCAGTTTGACAAGCCGCCGGCTCCCTGTCCTCATCGAGGCTCCCATGTCCTCATCCTCAGGTAAATTCAGGTAAATAACATTCAGCGGAGGTCACATGAAAACACAAAACAGATTTGGCGGGGAACTTGTCAACAAAACCCCAGAGTCGAGAAGTCATCACAAACTGACCTTAATATCTGGTGATCCTGGTCGTGTCACACCTTCTGTCACCACACTAAGTCCTCTCTGAAGATCCAGCGTCGATAGTTCATCCTTCCTAATAACAGGAGCATCTTAAACTTGACGTAAACACACACAATAACTGGTCACGACCGATCACGCGCGCGAAGTAAAGAAATCCAGTAGCCGGGTCACAGCTGACGCGGTCAGCCAATCACAGCGCAGGAAACGCGGCGGGAAAGTTGAATCGGGTTGAATACTATATTTCCTACTCATCTTTTACGCCTTGAAGTTGATTGTTTCAGGCGTTGGAATTATTGCTCTGGTGTATCCCAAAACCATTGACTGACAATCAATGCTTGGTAATGGTTTTGCAAGATTGCAAAGTGGTGAGAATTAGGGAACTCTGATATTGGAAGCGGTGAGAATTAGATAGCTAATATCGGAAACGGTGAGAATTTTGTATATTTAATACCAAAAATGGTGAGAATTAAGCATATATCATACGAAAAATGGTAAAATATTAGGTGTATCTTATACCAGAAGAAGTGAGAATTAGACATCTGTGATATTCATTGGCGAATGATAGGTATTTGATTGAGGAAAGCCTGAAAATTATAAATAACAAGCCTAACTTTCCTAAACTGTTTTCCAAGAATTAACCTTAACCAATGAAACTGAAATAACGGGTAACTTTTTTTGTGTGAAAGAGTATAAAATAACCACACATGTTTCACTTCACAAGGAACATAAGTTAAGTACTCTAATGATAAGTGAAGTACTTCCTTAGAAAACCCAACGTTTTCAAGGTTGGGCTTGTTTACAAAACTTATTGTATGATTTACCCTCGGTGACCTGAATGTTGGAGTGTTAGCTGCGGTGGCACCTCTAAATTGTCTCATTTCTTGACAGCTGGGCATCAGGGCGGCATCCTAATGTCAGCTTCCTGAGTGGGCATCAGTACATGCCTGAATAGCCATTGATTAAAAACACAGTTGCCAACTCCAGGCCGGTTCCCAGAAAAAATTCTAATCATCTTAATTAAATTTGTAATAGCTATATAATAGACTCGAACCCTGGATCAAGAAGTTTGAGGACCCTGGAGGTGGGTTCAAACTTCCGTCCCTGGGCACCCTGAACGTCCTAACTATCCACTGAACTATGGTGAGCCAGCCTATCCTTCTGCTTAGATAGTACTTATAGTAACGATGTGGCCCATTGTTCATATATTGACGTAATGGACAATTAGACAGTAGAATTTGGTACTAGTGAACTTGGAGAAACCGCGAAAGGTTTTGTATATATGTTGCTAATGAAACTTGACCTAACCTAACCCCCTAAAGGCTATATGAAGCCTAATATAGTACATATATGTGCTATACTAGGTCTAGGAATATTTAAGTATTATTTTTAGCGTTATTTTTCCGGACTATAAAGTGAGTAGTACCAAGTTCTATTACATAGTTACTGCCATAATACTGTCTAAACTAGAGGATGGGCGCCCACATACCTAAGCCACAAGTTCTACAGCCTAACCTAGAGTCACGTTTAAGTAGGTTTATTGAGACAATAAAATAAATCTCAAATGGATAGAGTATCTTAGGCTATTTCTATCCTCCTCTACATCAAGTCCGTCAAGGGACACACAAATCCAGTGAGTACAAATCCACAAATCACAGAACAAGAATCCCATTTAACATTGCAACACCTGGAGTCCTATCTAATGACGGTGAACATTCAATAAATTAAGATTAATTAGCTCTGTCGACATTAAATCAGAGCCATCATTAAGCACGTTATCTCGAGAAACTAAAATCAAAATCTCACAAAAGAATAATAATAAAGATTAGGTGAATAAAAAGACCGGACAACTCTTATAAAAAAAAGTTTGATTTCATATCTTAAATCTTCTCGACATTTGCAAATTTCAAGAAGTTATTAACCCACAAATATACATCATATTTCTTAATTGCATTACAAGTTATTTACAGTTCGCTATTGTATACCCTAAATGATTAATGATTCTCTCTGTCATTTTTTTATCAAAACAGAATGTTCATGATTAAACGTTTGAGTGTTGAACATGTTAATATAATGTGGGCAGGAGAGACGTGCGAGAGAGAAACATTGGTGAACCAAAGGAGCTGTGGGCGGGTCGGGAGCGTTGCTCACCTTGAAACCTGCCACAAGTTCCCTTGTCAACACGGTCAGCGTTGTCTAACGGCAGCTGTACCGGGTACAGCAGCGTGGGCTGAGGTGGGTAAGCTACCGGTAGCTGTACCGGGTACAGCGACGTATGCTGAGGTGGGTAAGCTACCGGTAGCTGTACCGGGTACAGCGACGTGGGCTGAGGTGGGTAAGCTACCGGCAGCTGTACCGGGTACAGCAGCGTGGGCTGAGGTGGGTAAGCTAATGACAACTGTACCGGGTACAGCAGCGTGGGCTGAGGTGGGTAAGCTACCGGCAGCTGTACCGGGTACAGCAGCGTGGGCTGAGGTGGGTAAGCTAATGGCAACTGTACCGGGTACAGCAGCGTGGGCTGAGGTGGGTAAGCTACCGGTAGCTGTACCGGGTACAGCAGCGTGGGCTGAGGTGGGTAAACTACCGGTAGCTGTACCGGGTACAGCAGCGTGGGCTGAGGTGGGTCCCGCGCAAATCCAACTTTGCGTGGTACAACTTTTAAACAGCGCTTAAACTTCGTAAAACTTCGTTAAACTATGGTCTTCGTTAACTGTAGAATTCGCCAGATTGTAGACTTCGTTAAACTGTAGAACTCGTTAAACGGTTCTGTTAAACACATTTGCTATATTTTGCTGCTTCTAAATAATAAACAATGTTACTCGCAGCATATATATTATATTACTCGTATTATATTATTATATAATAATATTATTACCGTATTATTGTAATTAAAAATATTACTATTAGCAGCAATCAACTTACACTTGCTATAATTACATAATAACACACTTGAGTGTCTCAGTCTTCTTCATTGTTCATAACAGTAAAGAACATCACGAGTGCTATTAATTATTTAATACGATACATAAGTAATCATCTTTATTAGTAATTAAGACAGGTAGGGGGGCCCAGGGAGGTCCATAAATAAAAACCACTAACAGAAAGATAGTTAAACCATGTGCTTCACCAGGCTGCCAAGTCCATGGAACATGATTTATAAACCACTTAGGCACGAGTGTAAACAACGCTTCCTTAGCCACACTTGAGAGAAACGTGAGAGTAAGGCCAAGAATAAATGTGGACACAAATCTTAGTGTGACTATTCTGTACACGAGTTTACCTGTTATGGAGAGAGGAGACTTCAGGGTGACCTTCGGCAGGAGCACGACTGACGGTGCAGCTGTTGGGTGGGTGTCTGGTCCTCCTGAGAACCAGTTCAGTCTGAAGGGAAGATCAGAGTAACAGTACAGGCACACGCACTAGGGGACGCGCACTAGGGGACAGGCACACGCACTAGGGGACACAGGTGGAAATTGAGCGCCCAAATGAGCCATAGAGACGTTAGAAAGAATTTTTTTCAGTGTCAGAGTAGTAGACAAATGGAATGCATCAGGCAGTGATGTGGTGGAGGCTGACTCCATACACAGTTTCAAGTGTAGATATGATAGAGCCCAGTAGGCTCAGGAACCTGTACACCAGTTGAATGACAGTTGAGAGGCAGGATCAAAGAGCTAGAGCTCAACCCCCGCAAGCACAATTAGGTGAGTACAGCCTGAAGGGGAGACCAGATGAACAGGACAGGCTGAAGAGAAGCCATCTCCTATGATAATAACACGCAAGAAGGGTAAGGTGTGGAGAGACCACCGCTAAACTGGGAACACAGACATATAGAGGACGCTAAAGATAAAAGATACCTAAAGAAACCGCTAAAGGGAAGGGACGCGAGCTATCAGGGAGAAAGTGCCAAGCCATGATGACTATATAGCATTTGGAAGGGGGTTAGGATAAGGGTTTGGGATAGGACGGAGGGGAAAGGAATGGTGCCCAACCACTTGGACGGTCGGGGATTGAACGCCAACCTGCATGAAGCGAGGCCGTCGCTCTACCGTCCAGCCTAAGTTATAAACCAGCCCTAGTATAATGAAATGGCCCCAAAAAGACCCCTCTTGGCAGAGCATTGTGTATGGCACACTTAAAATAATTACTTACCATAAATGCCAAAATGGCAACCGTGAAATCCTTGGATAAATGGAAAATATTTTGTTGAAACGTTATGGTGGTCACCCCAAGGTGGACCGTAGTCGTGTCTGTCTGTGCTTGAGACACCTTCCAAGTATTGCCTTTTTTTTACGGGGGGGGGGGGGGAAGTGTGTAAACGCACCTATACGTTTTGTTATTGTGTGTTCATTTGTTTTTATTTCGAAATAACGAAGCACACACATGCGACACAAACACCAAACACACACATGCCACCCTTAACACCAAACACACACATGCAACATTGCAACACTCAAACACCAAACACACACATGCCACCCTTAACACCAAACACACACATGCAACATTGCAACACTCAAACACCAAACACACACATGCCACCCTTAACACCAAACACACACATGCAACATTGCAACACTCAAACACCAAACACACACATGCCACCCTTAACACCAAACACACACATGCAACATTGCAACATTCAAACACCAAACACACACATGCAACCCTTAAACACCAAACACACACATGCAACATTGCAACATTCAAGCACCAAACACACACATGCCACCCTTAACACCAAACACACACATGCAACATTCAAGCACCAAACACACACATGCCACCCTTAACACCAAACACACACATGCAACATTCAAGCACAAAACACACACATGCAACACCGAAGCACCAAACACAAACTCTTGCGACATTTAACAATAAAAAAATTATCAGTCACTCCAAGGACATAATTAATTCAAGAACTGGAAAGAACTCATTAAGTGATGCCGGTCGAGAGTAACATTGTTTATAGATTACCTGAGTTATTGGTCGAGTACTCAACGTCAGCACCAGAAAAATACATCAGCTTATGATGTTCTTCAAAGTTCAAAATCAACTTAGAGGTCCCTTATTCTAAACATGTCAAAACTTACACCGGGTGAGGATGAGGCTTCCCTCTCAAGCCTCGCTCTTAATTTATTAACTGACTTCGAATTAAGCAGCAAAATATAAGAAATGAGTTTAATGACGTCCACAATTTAACGTTTGCTGATAAAATATTCATATCCCACATGAAAGTTTTTAAAGTTTTATTCAGTATAAAAACTGACTCTTCAAACTAACTTTAAAGTAGGAATCAGATCTCTAGTTTTATGGAGAAACAATGAATTTCACAACCCAGGTCAACATGGATTTAGAACAGGAAAATCCTGCCTGTCGCGATTACTCAACCGCTACAACTAATTACTGAAGTATAAGAATAAAAAGGCAATGCAGACATTGTATACTCTGACTTTGCACAGGTATTTGATAAGTGTGACCATGGAACAGGAACCATGGGCAGAGTTTCTTTCACCCTATGCCCCTGTTACCTAGCAGTAAAATAGGTACCTGGGTGTTAGTCAGCTGTCACGGGCTGCTTCCTGGGGGTGGAGGCCTGGTCGAAGACCGGGCCGCGGGGACACTAAAGCCCCGAAATCATCTCAAGATAACCTCAAGATGGAGTGATTGCCCCCTAAAATGAGATCAAAAGGGATTGGGTGATGGGTATTCAATTTACTGTTAAATTGAATGCCAAGAGTAACAGTCAATTAAACAAAACCAGGTCCAAGCACAGAGAAAAGTTGTGTACCCCAGGGCACAGTTCTTGCACCACTGCGTTTTTCCTTATATCAGAAATAGACAAAATACAAGTCATAGCTTTGTGTCATCATTTGCGGGCGATGCAAAAATTAGTATGAACTTCTTTAGAATGTACTGAAAAACTACAAACTGATATCAATAAAGATTTCAAATGGGCAACAGAAAATAACATGATGCTTTACAATGATAAATTCCAGATACTTAAATATGGTAAAAATTAAGTTTTTATAAAAAATACATCATATAAGCAGGCGATGAGTCACAATAACGTGGCTGAAGTATGTTGATCAGACCACACCAAGAAGTTGAAGGGACGACGACGTTTCGGTCCGTCCTGGACCATTCTCAAGTCGATTGTGAATGAACGAAGACAATCGACTTGAGAATGGTCCAGGACGGACCGAAACATCGTCGTCCCTTCAACTTCTAGTGTGTGGTCTGGTCGACACAATCACATCTTCTCACAGAAGGAAAACAGCAAGTAAAGGCTCTGGGAATAATGTGGTCAGACGACGCCACAAATAACACAATATAACAACGCTAATATCAGCTTTCATTCACCTTGGGCATTAGGAAATGTTATATCCACGGTAGTGAGGACGCCATCCCCATCCTCCTGTTCAGATAGTACCATTTGTCACGGTCGTCAATAGTCACAAATTCGTACGTTCTTAGCTTTTAGATAATAGTATACTGACTAGTAAGGAATTCTTTTTCGCTAAACACAAACCTAAATATTCCTAGGCCTAATGTAGCAAACATATGTACTATATATTAGGCCTCAGATATCGTGTATTAGGCCTAGGGAGATTAGGATAGGCTAGTTTTATTTGTCAAAGCCACACAAGTAAAAAATAGTTTTCCGGTTTGTCCAACTCAATAGTTCAGGTTTCTACGTTCTAATTTCGTTGTACGTCGGTGTATATACTATGGTCCTCATCGTTACTGTAAGTACTACCAAACCATGAGGGTGGGCTGGCAGTTTATGTAACTCAGGGCTCGAGTGGTAGCCACGGGGATGGCAAGTTTCACTGGGTAGAAGTTAGCTGCCTTGGAATCCTTCCCTTTTAAGGGTAGCCTAGTAGCGCAGTTGACAGAGCGACTACAGCCCATGCCGGAGTTCACAACCAAAGATCACACTCACTTCAAAAAATCTACCACTTTAGCTTCACGCCCGTGCCACCTCTTCCATCCAGCGGTCGACCCCAAAGACGCATTCATCAATTTTAACATTCTAATCATTCAAAACAACTTTTCTCATATAAATTAATATTATTATTATATATTAGCATATTGTGCATATTTAGGTATTGGTTAGGTTAGGTTAAGTGTTTATGTTCTGTTGCCGATTATTTGTGTTTGTGTTATGTGGGAGAAGCATTTACAGGGTTGTGGTTTGAACACAAATCGTCAGCAAAGCTGTGTTCGAGAAGTGTTCAAACATCATCAGTTGTGAGTCGCGTATAAACCGTTTTTCATTCATAAACGGGTGGGTTGGGGGGTTGGCGGGTGCATAGAATAGCCTTTTGTCCTTTGTTTATGAGGACGAGTTGCTGGAGGATGAGTTTGATGAGGACAGCCTGGGGTGCTTGCACTTTGACCCAGGGTTCAGTCCCCTTAAATATAAATTTTAAAAATTGAATCTAGTTAAAAAAAAAAACATTTTTCCTAAGGAGCGGCTTGAAGTTGGCTACAGGCGCTCATCATTGGATATTCCGTTAATGCTCAGCCACGAAGTCGACATTAGGATGTCCAGCTGTCAACAAATAAGACAATTTAGAAGTTTCACGGCAGCTGTCTCTCCAACACTACAAGTTCAAGTTTAAGCTCAAGTAAGTTTATTGAGGTAATGAAATATAATACATCTCAAGAGGATAGAGTAGCATATGCTATTTCTACCCTACCTTTCTACTGATACAGGTCACCGAGGCTGAACCATAAGTACTGTAGTTACCATTACAGTACTTAATTAGTGTTCCTTGTGAAGTGAAGAAAATATGCGGTTATTTTATTCTTTCATAATAAAATGTTACCTGTTTATCGGAGGTTTGAGCAAAAGCCAGCCCAACCACTTGGGCTGGACGGTAGAGCGACGGTCTCGCACCACGCAGGTTGGCGTTCAATCCCCGACCTGTCAAAGTGGTTGGCCACCATTCCTTCCTCCCGTCCCATCCCAAATCCTTATCCTGACCCCTTCCCAGTGCTATATAGTCGTAATGGCTTGGCGCTTTCCCCCCTGACAGTTCCCTTCCCTTGAGCCATAGCCAGAAAGGGGGTTTAAATTTGTTTTATTTTACCTTATAAACATTAACAATTGTAAGTGATACAAAACGTGTAATTGAAAGTAATTGCCCTAATGGGCGGGGTATTACCCTAATGGGCAGGGTAATGGCTCCCCCAAGTTGGGGGGGCTTGGGGGGGAGAGAAGGGAACACTGCCTAATATACTTCTCTGAAAAGCTCCCGCCGTCAACAGCTTATTGCTCTTTTCCGAATATCCCGGGTCGATGACACGTTTTATTATTTCAGTTTCATTCGTTAAACTTAACTCTTGGAAAACGATTTAGGAAAGTTACGTTT